GACAAGTTTAGGAGGGGGACATCGATAAAGACATGACAAGTTTAGGAATGGGACATAGACATGACAAGTTTAGGAGGGGGACATCGATAAAGACATGACAAGTTTAGGAGGGGACATCGATAAAGACATGACAAGTTTAGGAGGGGACATCGATAAAGACATGACAAGTTTAGGAGGGGGACATCGATAAAGACATGACAAGTTTAGGAGGGTACATCGACATAACAAATATCAAATACAAACACTCACCTTCTTTTAAAATATGCAAAAATAACTTTAAATAATTAGATGTAATAGTAACTAGGTCCCATTTCTGAAAAGAAAGTAAACAGTGCTTGTAAAAATTGTATTCACCTTAATAGTCAGTAATGATATGGAAATGACATTACAGTTTTATTCAATTTCCTGAAGAACAAAAACAATCAGTTTTGAGAAGTATTTGAACAGTTAGTAAGATAGCTTGCAGCTTTATGAAATGCTTGGCATTTGCTTTGCTAGATTTGATGGCACAGTTTGACTGATGGCATGCTGTGTGTGATTTACTATTTCATAGAGTAATCAACATTATGATTTGCAAATCTGGTGTACATTGCAACAAGTCATTGAAAATGACACAGTCCCCGTTAAGTTCTCTTTGTGCTCGTCATATTAAAGCGGAGGGGTTGTCGCGAGCGTGTCCTTGAAATTTGAGTTCCAAGTGGCGTATACAACAGATTGTTTATTTACATCAAAACACGTGTTTCGTGTCATAGTAATATGGCTAAAATAAAAACAGCCGTTATTCAGCCATCTTTGATCTGATTATGAAACACACTGATATGTATGATGTATGTGCCAAATATGAATGAAAATGGTACATAAATTGTGGAAATATAGTAGTAAGGCCAAAAAGTCGGATGGCTGTCAATCGGCCATCCTTGACCAGATTTTGAAACAAACTGTCATGGACATGCATCCTAACATGTATAAAGTACATATATGTGCCAAATTTGAATGAAAACTGACAGAGCATGTCCAAGATACCGCATAAAAAAACAAGATGCCTGCCAGTCAACCATCTTTGATCCAATTGCGAAATAAATCG